GCCTGTTTTATTTTTTAATAGATAATATACTCAGTTGCTTAACATTCACATTGGTAGTAGAAAAGAATGCATTTTCTTTTTAAGTACAGAAAACATTTTCTTTACATAGTTCCATACCCAGATTTTTTATTTGTATCATTTTATTATTTGCCTTATCAAAAAATTACCTGAATTTTCCTTTTAGTGGAATTATTCACCTTCCCTTTCCGTTAATTTCCCCCTTTTAATTTTATTAGTAGTTGAATAACTATTTTAAATTTAAAACATTGTATTGCTTATTTTATTGTTTTGGGGGGCAACATTTGTTTTCATGAATCATGTAATCAATATTCAAGGTAGTTCTCCTTTATTGAGACATAGAATCTTATCCTCATATAATAACATAGGCTAGGCATGCCTGAGTAACTCAGTGTAATTCAGGAGAATATCAGATTTCTAGGAAGGATAATAATGGAATTAGAAAAGAGTTCACAAAATGTCAGTAATGATAATGTCTTGGAGAAGGTTGTATAGGAGATTTGAATTAGGAAAAAATAATCTCTTTAATATACAAGAAACAAATTTAGTAAAACCATCTGGGTTACAGGAAAGTTGAATGTAGCTTTTTTATTCATTCTTACCCATATGATGGTAAAGCGGGGGGGGGGGGGGGGGGGTAGTTGTAAGTTAGTTAGAATGAGGAAATATTTAGTACACATCTGGAACTTCTTTGCCTGAGAGGGTGTACTGTCTGAAAGTATAAAAGAGGATCAACAAAAGCTTGAATAAATCCATGGATGACAGACATGGTTGGGTATGAAGGCCAAGTTCAGGGTGTGCTCCTCATCTCTGAGCCTTGAAGTAGCAAAAGGTCACCATCAAAGTCATTAATATTTTTTTTCTTAAGGTGCAGTTAACACCTTAAGAAAATGATAAAATTTTTTAATGATAAAACTCACCTTTTAGTGGTAAGCCAGTTCAGTGGCTTTTAGTATATTTACAAGGTCATATAGCCACCACTGTTAATTCTAGACCATTTTCTTCACTCAGAAGAGAAACTCTGTACCCATTAGCAGTTACTCTCCATATCCTTCCTCACTCAGGACATCTGGTAATCTACCTTCTGGCTCTATGGATTTTCCTATTTTGGATACTTTCCACAGTCTGGTTTTCTGTGTCACATCTTTTATTTCACATTTTCACAGTTCATCCATTTTGGCATGGATGAGAATGTGTAAGCATCCATTCTTGTTTATGACTGAATAATACTTCATTCATGTACATTTTTGGATGTTGGCTGTGGTGAGTAGTGTAGTGCCCTGCTTTTGGACATACTGCTGCTTAAAGATCACGGTGCAGATTGTATCAATGTAATTTGGTTTCTGTTAATGGACCTTAAAGAGCACTTGGGAACTTATTTAAACAAGCCACAGTGAGTATACCCTCAGGGTAGTTAGAGTCAGCACAGGTCTCCACTGTTCTCTGCTGCATTTGTGCCAATTTATACTCATAAGCATTAGGCACACTTCTTCATGGGAGAATTTTAATCCCATCAGATGTTTGGGAGTGGTTTACTAGTTGTAAGAATTTATTATTTTATTAAATTCTTTAAGTCTTTTTCTCCTGCTTTCAATTTCCAGAATGTCACCCCCCCCCCTTTTTTTTTTTTAAATCAGGGTGTTGTCACAAATTTTGAAATCTTCCGAATGAGAGAGAAACAGGTACCAGTGGATGTGGTTGAGATGAAGGGTAAGCTTCATTTTATTGTCTTGTGGTGGGATGGGCCTCCTGTACTGTTTTGCTCTTGACTTCTGCAGCATTCAGCTGCTGACCCCCCTAAGCAATTGTAAAGGGTGTACTTGCTCTGTGAACAGCAATCTCTAGACCTGAGCACGTGGAATTGGAGTGGCTTTTGTCCTTTTCAACAAAAAAACAGCCTTTAGGTTTTATAAATGCTGGTTAAAGTTGCCCCACTTTTTCCCCCCCACACCTCTGTGATCTGTAGCACAGGAGCCAGGAGGTGTAGTTGTTTTCATACTTAGAAGAGAACGTGTGAAGAATGGGTTTTCATTCCACATTTAAGACGCATCACAAGTGGTGTCTCAGAAAATAAAAGAGGCAAGCCTTTTTTTGTTTTTGTTTTTTGTAACCTTAAAGAATATATATGTATCTAATTTCTTGAATGAGTTTCCTTTTTACTTTTTGGTGTAAAAAGGGTCACTTTACCCTGGAGTTATACCTCCAGTCTCCTGTTTTTATTTTTACTTTTTTTTTATGTGGTGGTGCTGGGGATTAAACCCAGGGCCTTGTGTATGCGAGGCAAGCACTCTACCAATTGAGCTTATCCCCAGCCCTATTTTTAATTTTGAAACAGGGTCTCACTAAATTTCTGAGGCTGGTCTTGAACTTGTGATATTCACAAAGCTAACTTTATTTCCCTTGCTTAAGATTAGATGTTTGAGGGCTGGAGTTGTAGCTCAGTGGTAAAGCGCTTGCCTTGCACGAGCAAGGCCCTGGGTTCAATCCTCAGCACCACATAAAAATAAATAAATAAAGATATCGTGTTCATATACAACTAAAAAATATTTTTTAAAAAAAAGATTAGACATTTGACTCATGTGTATCTTTGTGTGTATACTGTGGTCTCTGAGGTTGCGAGCAGCAATAGTCAAAATAAGGAATCTAACATGAATTCCCACTGTGTATGTTCCCAGTGAATAATTATCCATGTTTCACTGTTAATGAGAAAACCTGGCTTGCAACAGGGTTCCTTACTGTCACGAACAGTGCTGTTTTTGCCTTTATCTGGGAAATTACTTTGTGTTCTGTTTTGTTGTTGTTGTTGTTCTTCCATGGAGAAAAGGAGAAAATACAGAAATGAGAAAATGGTGAAATGTGGCCATTTTGTCAGGGCAGAAAAGTCATAAGATTCTGCTGCAGGGGACTGGCGTTGTAGTTCAGTGGTAGATCACTTACCTTGCATGCATGAGGCACTGGGTTTGAATCTCACCACATAAAAATAAATAAAGATATTGTGTCCATCTACAGCTACAAAAAAAAAAAAAAGATTCTGCTGCAGGTCTAGCATTGAGTATAGGAAGGGGGTGCCCTCAGGCCCACCAGACATTGGCCAGACCCACTGTGGGTGTGACTCTTAGGAAAGCAAGAGCTTCTGGGATGGAGGATGAGTTTTACCTAAAGCATCTCATGCAAATTAGATCAGCTTCTTGTGTCGCTTATGATGAAGTCTTGTGTTGCCCAGGGTGGCCTGGAACTCCTGAGCTCAAGTGACCTTTCTGCCTCAGCCTTAGAGTGCTGGGCTCCAGTCATGCACCACTGGGTTAAGCTAAGTCTGTTGCTTTCAGCTTCTGTAATAGTTGCCTTTTCTTGCTGTCACTTGTTCTGTGGGCCTTTTAGTAAATTTTAAGAACTTTGGGGGCTTTTATCTGGTTGAATAGTGAACATCTTAACTGATTAGAATGTTCTCGTAAGTGATCACAAAGGATGCTAACTTTTTTATTGATTATAGAAACCATCATAGCCTTTGCCTGGGAACCTAATGGAAGCAAGTTTGCTGTGTTACATGGAGAAGCTCCACGGATATCTGTCTCTTTCTACCATGTGAAGAGCAATGGGAAGATTGAGCTCATCAGTAAGTGGCCTGGCCCATCTTGGGCCCCCTTTCCTTGACAGATGAGCGAAGGCGATAGGATTTGGTTTTTGCCAAGAGTGAGTGGTGGACTGACCTGGGCAGACTTCTGAGCAGGCCTGAGTTTGATGTAAATAAGGCAGCCATGGTTCAGGTGATGTGCATTTATTAGTGAGGCTGAGATTCCTCATGGGAGGGAACTTCATGACCACAGAGCCTAAGCTTCTGTGACCCTGGCTTTTTTTTAATAACTTGGGGTTTCTCAGACCCCATCTTCTTTCATTGGTCTGAGTGAAGTTATATTTTGTCCTTTTATAGCTGGGTGTTTCGGGGGGGGGGGTCACTTGATTGCATACATGTGCATGTCACTTGGCCTTCGGGGTCCTTCTGACCCAAGGCCTGTCGTGTCTCTGATCACCTGATGGGTACCATGAGCCGGAATGATGAACATTTACAATAAGGGCAATTTTTTGACGAATTGCTTTCTGAAATTAAAAAATTTTTTTTACATATATATGTAATTTTTATATATGTATGTAATGTTCTATGTATAATGTTCTACACCTAAAAAGAACTCTTGTGCTCTTTCTTTCTTTCTTTTTTTTTTTTTTTTAAAGTATATATCGCATCTTAGATGCACCTAAATGATGGATTTTCTAAAATTGTTTTTCAGAGATGACCAAATGGTATGATATGTGTGTGAATTCTGTATGAGTCCGTTTTTATCAGACCTAGCTTAGAGCAGTAACGATGTGTCTGGGCTGTAGAACCATGCATAGGCTCCTCAGAGGCACCTCCTTTCCTTTCAGAAGTGTTCGACAAACAGCAGGCAAACACGATCTTCTGGAGCCCTCAGGGGCAGTTCGTGGTCTGAGGAGGTGGGTCCAGCAGTCCTGTTTTTGTATCGGCACCCTGACCCAGGTCTGTGGGTTGTAGCAGGCTCTATGTCCCTTGTCTCTTGCTTAAGAGGTGAAATGCTATTGTTGAATTGTGTCACTGTCCCAAACTTGGGTGAGATCAGGCAGATTTCATGGATGGATATGAACATCCTTCTGTGATTGAGCAAGGGACCTTCCCAGCAATCCAGTTACTCTCATGTGAAGTCCCACATCTTCTAGCATGACTGCTATTTAATTAAATAGCTGTGAGATTATCTTTTAGCTATGAGAACTTTTCAATGTCTCTTTTCCCTCACTTCCCTACCATACCAGTTGAATATTTAGAAATAGTAAAGATATTTAGCATTTTACACCTCAGTTAAAACAACATCAGTTTGTTGCTTAATTCCCTTGCTATTGCAAAGAGGAGTTGTTACTCCACTTTGGGAGGCGTGGTTAGCCTTGGTGCACTTTTTTTCAGAAACAGTAGCATAGTGCCCCACAACCAGCAGTGGTCAGTTGGCTTCTGGTCTCTGCATATTGCCCTGGCCCTCATGCCCCTCAGAGCAGGAAAGTGGGAATGAATATGTGGAGCCTGACTGCTGTGTGTTGTCTCTGCAGTATGAATGGTGCCTTAGCATTTGTCGACACTTCCGACTGTACTGTCATGAACATTGCAGAGCACTACATGGCCTCTGACGTCGAGTGGGATCCAACTGGGCGCTGTGTGGTCACTTCTGTGTCCTGGTGGAGCCATAAGGTAGGGGCTGTGAAGCCTCAGCAGGAGAACCAAACTGACTGTTTGGGGATCTTAAGAAAAGAGCGTTGTGCCTTTCCCATCCCATCAGAGAACATGGGCATTCTTATTTTCAACTTTTTTTTTTTTTTATGTTCTTTGTAGTTGTATATGAACACAATACCTTTATTTTTTGTTTATTTATATGTGGTGCTGAGGATCGAACCCAGGGCCTCAGATGTGTGAGGCAAGCACTCTACCACTGAGCCACAACCCCAGTCCCTTCTGTTCTGTCTTTGACAAAAGAGCTAAGGTTGGTGTCAGTGAAAGGAGGATTCAGGGATTGTAGAAAAGGTGGAGCCTGGCACAGGAGCAACATCTGGGGAGAGTCATATCCTAGGCCTGGGATTCTGGAGAAGGGTGAGATTGTGTTACTCACACGCCTTTTGGGGGAGAGTAGTATGGAGGTACATCCCAGCTGAGCAGTTTCCTCTGGAGTCTCACAAAAGATTCATAACCTGAGGACTTTTCAAGGGAGCGTTTCTGCCTGCAGGGCCAGTCTGCAAGAGTACAAGTACATCTCCCCACCTCAAGTTCATTGTGCCAGGTCTTCCAAGAACTTCTCTTTGTATTTAATGAGTCTCTTGTTGGTGTATGAACATCTGACCTGATCGTTGCAGATGCAACCTTTGTGATCAAATGGGGTGATTCTGTTTAGTGAGGCAACAAACTGGTAGGAACACCAACTTTCCAGATCTCTCTGGGAACAGTGTCTTGAGTCACAGTCTCTGTGTTCAGATTAGGGTGCCTGATCAAGGCCCATGTCCAGACCTGTTCAGCTGTCCCCATAATAAGGCCTACCTTCACACCTACTTAAGATCCTTATAAACTGCTGGCCACTGTTCTAGATAACACACTTAGCTAAAGAGTAATGAGGCAGTGAGGAGTCATACCAACATATGAGCTAAGGCACTGCATCCTGCATTAAGGGATGAAAAAACAATGTGGCTGGTGGTAGGTGACTTGCATTCTGGGGCAAGTTCCTTATTGCAGTAGGAATAAACATGCTTATGCTTTCCTAAGTACTCTGTAAGCTGTGTTCTGCAGTTCATCTGTCTCTCCTTTGTTCACTGTCCTGTTTGCCCTTGCTGAGGGGCCCTTGTTTTTTTCCCTATTGGATCTCAGATACCCAGAATGTCATTGTGCAGCTGCCAGGGTTGCTATTATGTGCAGTGAAGGTTCGAGGGTCTTTTGTCTCCCTGCTGGAGCAGTGACTCACAGCACACACTGTGTTGTAGGTGGACAACGCTTACTGGCTGTGGACATTCCAAGGACGCCTTCTGCAGAAGAATAATAAAGATCGCTTCTGCCAGCTGCTGTGGAGACCACGGCCCCCCCACACTTCTCAGCCAGGAACAGATAAAGGTGTGGGGTCTCTTGAGCTTCAGTGGAAGCAGTGTGGCCCTTTTTTTTTCCCCACGATTGTGGAGGTGGTGGTGGAGGGTAGAAACAGGATATTTCTGGACAGGCCAGAAGATTCAAGAACAGTGGGGACTAAATGGAAAAGAATAGTTTCAGGATTGTCAACATAAATTTTCGGGTTGTTTAAGGAAATTCCGCATTAACTGGGAGGGGTAAACAGAAATGCTAGGAGCTGTTAACAATCTGTGTGGGATTAGGAGAAACACATCTGGGATTTACGTAATTGTTAAGTAGGTCAGTGGTAGTAGACCAACACTAAAGAGAATAGAAATCCCAGGAAAAAGTCACTCAGGATGAAGTGAAAGGGAAACCATGGTGTTCCTCGTTGCCCCAGGTGACTGTCTCTAAAATCACTGAGCGTTGTTTCATGTTGGCAAATTTGAAGGCTGCGTTTGTGGTTCTTGCTTTAAATGTTAAACCCTGAGTGACTTGTTTTTGTTTCAGCAAATTAAAAAGGATCTGAAAAAATACTCCAAGATCTTTGAACAGAAGGACCGTTTGAGCCAGTCGAAAGCATCAAAGGTAAGCCTCACTCTGAAAACTGAGGGGAATGCCAAAGCTGCCATGGCACTGGAGAACCAGTGTGGGTGTAGGGGAGGGTGTGCTACTGGTCTCCATGGGACAGATGGGGGCGCTGCTCCTCCCCCGGACCATTGACCTTTTCTGGGGCAAGGCAAGGGGGTAGGCCAACAGCATTGGGTTTGGTGTCCACCTTGACCCTGTTGCTGGCTGGTTTTTCAAATATAGGGTCAGGGAGAGGGACAGGAAGAACACTGAGAACTGACGTTTTCCTTGCGGGAAGAGTTCTCTGTAAATGGAGTGGTGGGTACATCGCTCAGTAGGATGCAGGCTGCTTGTGGCAGAAAGCTTTCACTTAAGTTAAGCAAAAGCACATGAAGATGAGTTCTGTTAATTCTGTGACTTTCCACTTACCTGTACTTAGGAATTGGTGGAGAGGAGGAGAACCATGATGGAAGATTTCCGGAAATACCGAAAAACGGCCCAAGAACTCTACATGAAGCAGAAAAATGAACGTCTAGAAGTGAGAGGAGGTAACAAAGGTTCTGAGGGTGTCCAGCAGTGGAGAGGGCTTCCCAGCCCATGGGTGGTGCGACTCCTTAGTGCAGTGCCTCTCTCCTATGCCAGGCTGTGGCTGTAGCTTCCGCAGCTGCCAGTGAGCATCTATGATCCAAGGGTCAGCACACTTTGTCCTCTCAGGGGTGGACACTGACGAGCTGGACAGCAACGTGGATGACTGGGAGGAGGAGACCATTGAGTTCTTTGTCACTGAGGAGGTGATTCCTCTTGGGAACCAGGAGTGACCTGAGCACTGTGTGGTAAGACTGTCTTTGCTGTTTTGTTGCCCCATGTTAGAAAATGTGGTGTTGAAGGTGGGTGGAGTGGGCCTCAGGGTCAGCCAAGACTGTGTGTGTGGAATGTGAAGAGCAAGTTCAGAGCTACTCTAGGAACCTGACAGAACACCTGGTCAGTTAGCAGAAGAGGTCATGAGACACCTTGGATTATGAATGAGGTTGATGGGAAGAGACAGAAGTCCAACGTGATCATCTCTGGAGGGCTTTGCTAGTGGACAGCCTCAGGGGCCCATAGGAAGAAGAGTTGGGCACAGCAGCTGTGACTCTCTATGTCAATCACTGTCAGTTCTGAGACAGAACTGCTTAGTGACTGTCTCTTGTCCTCACTTCATGGCTGTCTAGGGGCAGGAGTACTAAGCCACACAGTTCCTTTGTGCTTGGGTGCTTTGTGGCTACGTGCAGTGGGTCATGGACTCAAAGGATGGTGTTTGCGCTGGGAACTACCAAGGGGCCTGCTCGGCGGGGAGGGCAGCGGCACCTCCTGTGGTTCACCTGTCCCTTTGTTGCAGCATCACCACATCGTGCCCTGAAGCGGAGGCCACCCTTTTGCAGAAAGCCTGCACAACTCTGAATCTGTACCTGTGCTCTCTCTCACTCTGGGCTGTGAACGCACCTGGGATTCTTCCATCCTGACACTTTTTTGTGCCTTTAAACCCCTGGTGTGCACAGTGGGGAGGTTTCGAGGCACTGCTTTGGTTTTTCTCATCTGGATTTGTCAACCACCAGTGGTTGCCGAGCAAGACTCCCAGCGGTGCTCCTGTCGTCTCCTCTCCTCCTGCGGTGGTGTTCCAGGGGTTCCACCTGCTGCTGAGCTGGGTTTTAGTTCAAGGACTCACTGTTTTCTATGTGGGCCAGTGTTGGGTGTGTCCTGGTGACTGGCAGGGGGACAGCATACTGCCTGTGTCCCACCGAGCTCAGAGGTGCCATGGCCGTGGACTCCGTGGTGCAGGTGTGGCAGGTTCTCTCAGCAGGTTGAATGTGGAAATAAAGCAACCCTGTGTGAAAAAGCTGTCTTTTCTCCTCTTTGCATGTAGGTAAGCGCCTTGACTCTGGTGCCTCTGTTCCCCTTCTCCCAGGACTAAGGGTCTGTAGCCAGGCCTGGTGCGGGGGAGCTGGCAGTCAGTCACTCCACACATATACTTGGCTTGCAGGGATCCTGATGGCAGCTCGGAGAACCCAGCCTCCCACCCACTCTGCTGCCTTTCCAGCCATGAGTTGGTCCAGTGGGTCCAAAATAGTTTCTTCAGTTTTTTCATTCTATGGGGAAAAAAAAGTGCATGTCATTTCTGAAAACCCTTTAGTCTTTCTGGAGTTAGACAGAAAGTTTGTATTGAGTGCATCAGTTCATCCACTGTGATGTCACAATATTTACTTTTACTATTGAGAAGGGAGTGAACAGATCCCTGTGGCTTCAGTCATTTTTTCTGTAGTGTCTTGCCACCCATCTGTGCCTTGTGATATTGCATTCTCTCCCACCTCCTTCCCTGCATCTCACAGAGCCTGAAGTTGTGCTAAAATAGCAGGACACACGGGAGGGGCTTTCTAGGATCCACAGCCATGCGACATCTGCAAATCTAAGGCATGCTTGAGATGGCAAGATAGGCTGATCTACAGGCAGGGACAGGGGCCAAGTACTGCCCTTGAGACACTCAGTTGGCTCCTGACAGGTTGCTGCCTGGTCCCAAGCTCTTAGCTGAGTGTCCTCAGGAGTGAGGCTGTGCCCCAAGCTTATCTGGCCTGTCATGGAGGCTCCAGGGTGACTGACTGGGTTTCCCTGGGGCATGGAAGGGGCTTTGTACCTTTCCCTTCTTGTGAGACTTCCTCTCCAGGTTTCTCTAGATTCTGTCACTGTTATAGTCCTGCCATGTCTCGCCCCTCAGCACCCATTTTTATAGTATTCCTGTTCACTCTCAGTGCTTCAAACTCTAGAATGCTCTTTTCTAATTTCATGCCAATGAGAAGGCGGCACACTGTTCTATCATTAACAGGTTTTTAACAACTTTCAAAAGTTTTTTTCACTGTTTTAATTTGTAATTGTTTTACATGATTTATAAATAAAAGGATTTCTGAAACACTGGTGCTGGCTCTTCTGAAGTAGAGATGGAGTTCCCAGGATGACAATTTTTAGGGGAAATTAACTGATCGTCCCAGAGCCAGAGGAGGGGGTGTCCCCATTGCTTGGGGGCTGTTGGGTGGGCCTGAGCCCTCTGAAGCCTTGTCTTGGTCCTGTCTCTATGAAGCAAAAAGAGTGCCTTGTTCTGTTGATCAGGCTGGGGCTTTTACTTGCAGGGCAGAGGGTTGGGAGACTTAGCTTTTAAAGGGTTGCTCTCCCTCCCTCAAGGGAGGGTATCTGGATACCAAGAAGGGGAGAGGAAAATGGCCAAGTGTGAACTGTGCCCTCGCATGAACCATCCAGTGGTTTTACAAAAGCAGCACAGTGGTTTATGGAGCAGGAGGGCCTGAGAGCTCCTGGTGGCTTAAGGGATTAATTAGCTGGGGCTCGCCTCTGCCAACTGTCCAGCTCTAGTTGGGATCCTGGAGGGGCTCAGACTTGGGCTTCACAGGCCCTGGCTTTGTGTGACTTCATCAGCACACAAGGGCACTGTCCTGTTTGTAGCGCATCTCTGACTTTGGGCTGGGTCTTCCTGCAACCCCTCTGCCTGCATGGCCTGACAAGTGCAGTCTGCTGCACTGGGTAGGTTCATAGGCAGTGCCTTCCCCAGGGACTACAGTGGAAAAGTTGAGCACAGCGTATAAGCAACGAGTACAAGCTGAGCAGCCTCTAGTCAGGCCCTGGATGTGCAGATGAGCAATGTGGGAGCAGAGAGAGAGTCATGTGGAAAAGGGCACTTACAGCGTGGTTGTTTCCTTTAGCTGTTGCTGGTTGTCCCTTGGGTGGAAAAGCCCCAAGATGACCATGATCTGCTGCACTGAGGCAGCCCCTGAGGTGGGCCACGGCTCCTGTGTTCAGGGTGGGAGAGGGGAACTCTACAAAGAGCAGGTGCAGGCCCTGTCAGGGCAGGCTCACCATAGACCAGTAAGACCCATGGACATGGGGTTGCTATGGCATTAGGTGGTACACAGATAGGAAGCCTGTGCTGACTTCTAGTTACTGGCTCATGTGCTCCTGTCTTGGTCTTGGAGAGTTTCTTAGGCATCACCCCTGGGACCCAGCTGATGTCATGGGGCAGGGCGGGGCTGAGCTTAGACCGCACCTGGCTCTGCTTCTGCCAGGATAACGGCCAGACCCTGTTCTGCAGCATGCCTTCCCACCAGGTTGCTGGCCCTTCCCCAGCCCAGGGTAGCCCAGCCTTGAGGGAGATGGAGCCCAAGGACCAGCAGCTCATGGTAAGCACCCCTCTCTCACCCTTTGTGTCCCCTACCCTCCCAGTTCTCACTTCCCTTACACTCTGAACCCACCACCTTGGGACAATCTCTTAACAGCCGTCTCATGTCCAGGGTCCCACCTCTGCTCTGCTCCGCCAGAGACCTAGCGACCTCATGCCCTCCTCACCATGTCTCCAGACTCCTTACCCCCCTGCCCTGTGACCCTCCCTCCCCAGGGAACTTGGGACCTGGACCAGGACTCAGTTGGGGGCAGGACTGTGCTCCTCAACCCCTACATAGGCCCTATCCAGACCCATCTGTTAAGTGACTTGACCTCAGCTTTTCTGACTTTGGGGGAACTAAAACCAGGGACTGGCCCCAAGTGTGGGCTGGTAAAAGAGAGACCAGTGATATTGGCCCCAGTTCATATATAGTCTAATTCCAGCCATCTTCCATTTGGGAAGTAGGTGGGTTTTTTTTTGTTTGTTTGTTTGTTTTTTAGTTGTTGATAGACCTTTATTTTATTTATTTATTTATTTGTGCTGCTGAACCCACTGCAAGAATCCGGTGCCTCACACATGCCAGGCAAGTGCATTAGCACTGAGCCACAGCCATAGCCCAGCCCGGATGTAGGTTCTTCTGTGTGCTCACTTTGGGCCTGGT